CGAACCCCTCTCCTCTCTCTCTGCCCCAGTGCATCGTGGGAGTAGCCGGAGGCGCCACCCGGGCAGCCCTCACCATGCACCAGGCCCGGCGGGACAACATGGCGGACGTTTCGGCCAAGGATGGGAGCCAGGTGGGATCCTGCTGGGGCCAATGTTAAGGGGCACCCCACAGTGCAGCGGGTGGGGGCGCTCCAGGGGGCAGAGGGGACAGACTCTCCCAGAATGCAGCAGGGCGGAAATGCCCAGGTCGGTGGGGGTTGTACCCCACCTGTGCAGATGCCCTCACTCATTCCTCTCCCCCCCAGGAGACCCTGGTGAATTTAGCCGGCCTGCTCGTTAGCCTCCTCCTCATCCCCCTCGTCACCGACAGGCTCCAGTGAGTTACCCCAAGGGCAGGGATAGCACAAGTGTTGGGGGGGGGGGGGTCAGGGGATTGTGGGAGGCGGGGGGTGCAGGGGATTGTGGGAAGGATTGTGGGGGATTATGGGAGGTGGGAGGCAAAAGGAATTGTGGGAAGGGTTGTGGCAGGCAGAGGGGATTGTGGGGGATTGTGGATCTGGCTGGGCCTGCCCCTGTCTCTGCCCTCCCCCACAGGCTCACCTACGCCCTCTATGGCCTGTTCACGGCTCTACACCTCTACGCCAACTACCGGGCCGTGCGCGCCGTCTGCATGGAGACGCTCAACCGGGCCCGGCTGCGCCTCGCTCTGCACCACTTCCTGTGCCAGGGCTGGGTGCCCACGCCCGCCCATGCCAACCCACGGGAACCCCTGCTGCCAGGTGACCACGGGGGAAAGAGGATACGGGGGGAGAGGGGAAGAGGAGAACCCCAGCATGGGCAGATGCAGAGAGACCAATTCCCCCAAGAGGGGAAAGGCCCCATGTCCCATTCCCTGCCCCCCTGAGCCAGCCAGTCCCCCCACCCTTGGGCGGGATTGGAGCCAGTTCCCCAGATAGGGGAAAGGCCCCATGTCCCATTCCCCCCCATACCCAACTGACTAGACTCTTTGCTCCTCACCTGTCCACAGAATTCCAGCAGCATCTCAGGATAACTCTAGGAGCCCCACTCCACCTGCTGGTCTCCAGGTGAGTAACAGATTTAACTTGTCCCTCATCCCTCCCCAGGGATTGGCCCCTCGGCCCAGCAAGCACAAGTCTCTAGGGAGACCTCTCGACACATTTATTCTAGTTGCGGTTCCTGCTCATAGAAACCTGTGTGTCTTTGGTGGATCTTCTCCCTGTAACATCTTGTGGCGGGGAGTTCCAGAGGCTAAACACGTCTGGTCCATTCATAGTGAGCATCTCCTTCTTTGCAAAAACAACAAGGAGTCCGGTGGCACCTTAACAGACTAACAGATTTCTTTGGGCATAAGCTTTTGAGGGTAAAAAACCTCACTTCTTCTTTGCGTATTCTTTCCCTCTGTCTATCCCACAGCGTAGCTGAGTTCCAGCAGGCCTGCGAGGGCAACTTGAGGAACTATCTAATCGCTCTGAACCGAAAAGCTGGTGAGGAGGGACTGGGAGGAGGAATGAGACCCAGGTGTCTGGGATGGCAGCCATAGGGGGCAGAGACCAGGAGGGGAATGGGACCCTGGCGTCCGGCATGGCAGCCATAGGAGACAGAGACTGGGAGGGGAAATGGGACCCTGGTGTCTGGCAAGGCAGCCGTAGGAGACTGGGAGGGGAAATGGGACACAGGCGTCCGGGATGGTGGTGTGGTGAGATGGTGCGGGACACCCTGCTGTGCCCTTCTCCCCACAGGCACCGTGGCTGTGGCCCTGCGCCATGGGGCGAGCAGTGTGGACACCATCCAGGCCTGTTCCCACGCCCTGCTGTTGGAGACCCTGCTGTGCCAGGCCCTGCCCCCAGGTGCCGTGGAGGAAGAGATGCTACAGAAGCTGCAAAGGCAGCTGTGTGGAGGTGAGGGGCGGGGTGACCAGACACCCCCTGTGCCTGATCCTGTCGGGGGAGGAGGGGGGCTCATCTAGGGGTTTCCCAGCACCTATCCTTCATCCACAGCCAGCTCTATTCTGTCTTTCAGCCCCTGACGGAGAGGTCTGGGCTGTGCTGACGGAAACTCACCAGCTGCTGGACAGGCTGTTCCCACGGTTCCTAGCAGGTAACTGGGAGCACCCCTAGTGCTCCTCTCTGGGGAGAGCGCCCCCTGCTGGGGAACATCCCCACCCCCTGAACTCAGCCCCGGCCCTTCCCTGTGTCCCCCTGCCTGGGGAGAGCGCCCCCTGCCGGGGAACATCCCCACCCC